AGAATCCAGCAGTACAAAAAAAAGATCATGACCAAGTGGGAATCATACCATGGATGCAAGGATGGTTCAATAGTAGAAAAACAATCAGTGTAATCCACCATATAAATTTTAAAAAGAAAAACAACCACATGATTATATAGATTGATGCAGAAATGGTATTTGACCAAATCCAACACCCATTCCTGATAAAATTACTCAACAAAATAGGAATTGAAGGGAAATTCCTCAACATAATTTAGAGCATATATACAAAATCAACAGTCAACATCACTCTCATTGCAGAGACACAGAAAGCTTTCCTTTTGTGAACAGGAACCAGACAAGGATGCCCTTTATCACAACGTCTATTCAATATTGTGTTAGAAGTATTAGCCAGAGCTATAAGGCAAGATATGGAAATGAAAGGCATCCAAATCATCAAAGAAGAAGAAAAACTCTATTTGCAGACAATATGATCCTATATATAGAAAATACCAAAGACTGAGCAAGAAAATGATTGGAATGCATTGAAAGAATCAGCAAAGTGACAGGGTACAAGATCAATATACAAAAATTAGTTGGATTCCTCTACACTAGTAAAGACAGCTCTGAAAAAGAAATTATGAAAGCAATACCATTTACAATAGCTACCCAAATAATGAAATATTTAGGAATAAAGCTAACCAGATAAACAAAATCTATACAAAGAAAAATACAAAGCACTACTACAAGAAACAAAAAGGGATTTACAAAAACAGAAGAATATAACATGCTCTTGGACAGGAAGATTTAACATTGTGAAAATATCATTACTACCCAAAGCAATCTACAGATATAATGCAATTCCAACCCAGATTCCAACAACATTCTTGAAAGCAGGGGGAGGGGGGACATCCAGCCCTCAGACTGTATTGTTGTTGCTGTTGTTGTTAAGTGCTGTCGAGTCAGTTTCAACTCATAGTAAGTAGCTCCATATAGGGTTTCAAAGGAGCAGCTGGTGAGCTTGAACTGCTGACCTTGCAGTACAGCACATTAACCCACAACACCACACCAGGACTCTATGTAAAAAGTACAGCAAATTCACTTGGTCTGGCCCTACTAAGGCAACCATCACATTAGGGGCGACTTAATTAAATGGTTGATCGAATACAGCAGGCTAATTATTTAGTTGATAATTTTGTATGGTCTATGAATTACATCATAAATATCTAAATGGCCCTTGGCAGACAAAAGGTTCCCCACCCCTGATTTAAAGAGATGGAAAAAATGATCATGAACTTTATATGGAAAACAAAGAGACCTCAGATAAGCAAAGCACTGCTTAATAAGAACAAAGTTGATGACCTCTCACTCCCTGAGCTCAGACTTTACTACATAGCTACAGTGGTCAAAACAGCCTGGTACTGGTACAACAAAAAGTACATAGATCAGTGGAACAGGATTAAGAAGTAAATCCTTCATGTACAGTCAGTTGAGCTTTGACAAAGGGTCAAATCACATTAAGTGGGGAAGAGATAATCTCTTCAACAAATGGTACTGGCAAAACTAGAAATTGATTTGCAGAAGAATGAAACAAGGCTATATACACACATGTATATCTCACACCATTTACAAAAACAAACTCAACATGGATTAAATACCTAAATGTAAAACTTAGAACTATAAAGATCATCAATGAAAAAAGAGGGACAAAAAGGGGCTCTAATACGTGGCATGGAGTCCTGGTGTGGCGCTGTGGGTTAATGCGCTGGACTGCAAAGTCGGTTAGAACTGCAAGGTTGGCGGTTCAAACTCACCAGCTGCTTTTTGGAAACCCTATGCAGGGTCGCTATGGGTCAGAACCAACTCAACAGCACTTAACAACAACAATACATGGCATACATACACTATCCAACATTACAAAAACCACACAAACAGTAGAAAACAAAATAGATGACTGGGGCCTCCTAAAAATTAGAAACTTACGTGCAGCAACAGATTTCACCAAAAGAGTAAAAAGGGAGCCTATAGACAGGGATTTTTTTTTTTTTTTCAGTAACACATAGAAAACTATAACACCTCTATAAGCAAAAGACAAGCAGCCCAATTAAATAATGGTAATGTGAGAATGAAAGTGGACGGCTGAGAGTAGGGCTCAGAGCAAGAATCGCCGCTTCAGGCATAAGAACTTGCTCTGAGACCTGCTTCAGGCTGGGGCCATAAGGACAACCAGGCATGGCTAGGCAGGTCCCCAACAGAATGTCTCAAGAGACACAAATGCAGGGTAAAGAGCACACTCATAAAACTGTCACAGTTGAAGTTCAGAAGAAAAGGAACGAGTAATTACAGAAGCCAGGAAGAACGTCATTGGACCCGACGGCCGAACGACAACCCTCCCCAACCTCATTGAAGACCGCTTCCCACTGACGAGACCTGACTGGGACTTTAGGACGCCGGAAGGTAGGGAGCGTCTCCTGTCCTATTGCCAGACTCTAATGACAGGTCTCCGGCCGGCGTCACGCCGGCCCACAAATTTGGCTAAAGTCAAAGCCATAGAACAGGGGGTAACTGAAAGCCCGACCAGATATCTGGAGAGGATATACGATGCTTATAGACAATATACACCACTAGATCCCTTGGCAGAAGAAAATCAGTCCGCAGTAATAATGACTTTCATCAACCAAGCTGCCCCCGACATTCGTAGGAAGCTACATAAGCAGGAAGAACTAGGGAGTTTGAGTATTAAGGACCTTCTCCGGATAGCCGATAGGGTATACAACCTTAGGGAAACGGCAGAGGAAAGAGAGGAGCGGTTGAGGAGAGAGACTCAGGAACGAGAGGACAGGTTGCGTAAAGA